ATTCTGCTCAAGGCTCAACGTTCAGGCCTGACGTCTTCATCTGAGACCCTCACCTTCGCTAGAGGCCCTAACCTTCGCCATAGGCCCTAACCTTCGCCAAAGACCCTCACTTTTACCAACGGCTTTCACCTTCGCCAAAGGCCCTCACCTTTGTCATACGCCCTTGTCTTCGCCAGATCATCATCAAAGGCCGTGTGCTCCACCAGAACATCACATGAGGCCCAGACTTTTGCCGGACCACTACTTGAGGCCTTGAGCTCCACCAGGCCACCACTTGATGCCCACAGTTCTCCCAGAATACTGCCGAATACGTACGGTCCTTTCGACCTCCGTCGCCTACTATGGTCCTTCCAACCTCCATCACTAGATAACGGTCTTTTTGACCCAGGTCTTCTGCCGACTATGGTCCTTACGACCTCCGTCGCCTACTACAGTCCGTCCGACCTCCATCAATAGACAACGGTCTTTCTGACCCCGGTCTCCTGCCGACTACGATTTTTCCGACCAAACAAACATGTATATGTAACTCCTACCATGTAATGCAATCTATATGATGTATATTTGCTACATCAATAAAAGGCCTTCTCCAAAGGAAGGGCCTCATTTGTAATCGACTGCAAATACTAGTGGATTCATTCAAACTGGGCCAGGCCCCGTGGTTTTTCCCCCTTTTTAGAGGTTTTCCACGTAAAAACTGTGGTGTCTCTTATGAATGCTTCACCCCCTCTCTTATCTACTTGTGTGCTGGATCTTCATACAATGCTAAGACGTTAAACCATATATTTCTCTACTGCCGCGAATATTCCAGGACCCCAACAAGCACAAAGGAGTAATCTATAGAGAATGCGACAATACAAAACTGCCTCGATAAGATAGCTTTCTAAATTCATATAAAAAATGAGTGCACAAGTAGCCAATTTTTTTAAAGAAGAAGAAGAAGATAGGAGGCAGTAGGAAATTGTATATTATATAACTGTGATAGAACTTCAGATTTAGATGTCCTTCTAGATTATCTTAGTAATTCCTCTGTGTTATCAAAATAATATTTTTGGCTGCGAAAAATATTATTTTTTGGTAGCCAATGATGGTGACCAATATAGAAGAATTGCTTGCCTTTTTATAACCACAATTACTCTACATTTTGTGCGCAACAAGGACAAGCAAATCTACCTTTTATGCTCCACTCAGACAACATGTCGTATGCTAGAAAAACATTAATGGTCCACAATAATGCAGCTTGCATGTTAAAAGTTTGGTTACTTGCTGTATCATAACGACATTGAACTCCATGCTATAATTCGCGTAACTCTTGAATCAAAGGTTGAAAGGTTAATATTAATAGCATTTCCTGGACTTCTCTCCCTAGGTATTATAGTAGATAGGATAAAAGAATTATGTTACATCCTGACCCAAGGTGGCATATTAAATGGACTTAGAAGTACGTGCCAAATACTATTTGTACTATTCATAATCTTGAATGGATTAAACCCATCGCTAGCCAAACCAAGGCGAACATTATGTGGATCAAAAGAGAAATCATGATATCAAGAGTCAAAAGCTTTCCATGCTTCTCCATCAGCTGGATGTCGTAACAAGCCATCGACATTTCTGTGTTTAGCATGCCAAATCATCTCTTCAGCAGATTTCTTAGTTTTAAAAATTTTTTGAAGTATTGAAATTAATGGAAAATATCAAACAATTTTAGCTGATTTCATATGAGTTTTCTTTCCTCCAAAAGTATTTTTCATCATAGTTGACCATCTTGATGCTCCACATATGTGACATTCATTTTGATTAGATCTATCTTTCCAAAATAGCATATAGTCATTAGGAAATACATCTATCTTTGTATATCCAAGATCAAATGCTTTCATTATTTTCTTCACTTCATATGTACTTTTAGGCAACAACGCCCCTTTAGGAAAGGCATCGACCAGTAACTCAAGTAACATATCAAATGATCTTGTCGTCCAAGAATGTAAGCACTTTAAACTATATAAGTTCAATATAAAAGAAAGTTTTGAGACGCTTTTACATCTATGGTAGAACTCTGCTAGCTCCTACATCCTGCATTAAATTTTTAAATTTCTCACCAACATCATTTTGTTCATTTGTATTGAACTCATTTTGTTCCATCGCTATATTCTAAAATGAATCATTTGGACATAATATGTCTCTTAATAATCCATCTATATCATCTATTCTTATATCCTCAGAAGGAGCTTGGCCATCTTTTAACTTTGGTGTGGCAATAGATCGATGCTTCATTTATATCACTGTCAACTACATTTCAATGTTCTTCCCCATGTTGATTCCATACAACATATCCAGCAAAAAATCCGTTGGAGATTAAATGAACTTTCTCATCCTTCATAGAATGAAAGTACCTATAAATGCATGATTTACACAGACATAAAATTTCCCCTGATAAATTCTGGCTTCGACTTCCAAACTCTAGGAAACTGTTTACACCATTTACATACTCACAAGTCCACTTAGCTTTCATAATCCAACTTTTATACATATTAAGTGAAATATGGACTTCCAAGCCACTGCTAATAATTAAGATTTATTTAAATCAATCATCATTTAATTTACTTGCATAACAAAGAAATGCTAAAAGAGTTGAGGCTTTTAAAATGAATGAATGCTTATTCGACATCAATAGCATTAATGGCATGAAAGATGAGACAATTCAAACACACAAATCTAATATCTTTGTGTAGACAACAATTATATCTCAACTCCCTCTAAAATATTAATTGTCAAATAAAAGTTATATCATTATTATGTCGAAATTTAGATAATTGGACATCTTTCACTCCCCGAAGTAAGAATAATTTTTCTTTTTTTAATATTTTACATTCAAATCTTTATATAATTACATCTTCTTCTTTACTGTGAATTAGCTAATCTCTTATTGGGCTTGATACTTCATTGAAAAATTTATCTAATTGAGCATATAATTTGGAGTAGTCCCAATTAAAACTTCATTCTCTCATGAGCCATGGTTAATGTTTTCCTGACATAACATTAGAATGAGTCGAGCTTGAGCAACTATAGTATTGTCAAATGAACTAAAATTTTGTGCATAGCTCTTTAACTATATAGTCGAATATGAGTTGTTCATGAACATAAAATATACTTCAAATTCATATATAAATTATAGAATGTATATGTTGCCATGTAGTGTAAATATAACTATATAAATATTAGTGTATGATTATGAATATAATATATATATATATATACACACACACACACATTTAATTATATGCAAACATGCATAAGTATACATGTTTATATATACATAAACATAATGATGCAATTATCAAGCCAAAAATAATTGAACAAGAATAATGAGATTTTTTAATAGTTTTATTAACCATATATATTTCTCCCTCTATATAATTTATATGGGTATTCATATCCTCACCAAATACCATGGTAATCACTCCATGCATACATGCTTTATTGCCATTGCTAAGAATAAAGATTATATGGGTATTCATATCCTCCCAAAAAATTAAGAATGAAAACTAAAACCCAAACCAAAAATGAATCACTAAAAAAACAAGAATAAATCTTCAAAAGTAGGGCTTGACAATGAAAGCATTTTGTTGCACGGAAGCGAATTTGAGTCAGACGGGGGAGCAAGAAGCAGGATCGATAGAAACTGGTGTGGGGAAGCCGTTGCTGATCGCACGAGCTGGGAAATGGGAGGAGAGGCCGGTTGAGCGAGAACTAGGCAAGGAGAGGACGCACAATACCTTGATTGAAGCTGTTAATCACGCGAGTTAGGGCATAGGATAGGGTCGACAACGACATTACAGAGGCGGGAGAAGAGAGGCCTGCCGAATGAAGAAGAGAGGTTGGCCTTAGTTCCTAATGCGAGCTTGGCGGTACGGGGAGAAGGCTATCATGGAAAGACGCTCATGCTGGAAAGCCTCGATGGAGCGGGAGGTAGGGAACAGGTTGGATCAGAAGATATTAGGAATTAATAGCTTCCGATTATTTCATCTGTGAGGGAACAAACCGCATATACGCTAGTATAAGTAGCGTCTTAAACCACCACTATAAATTATTTATGCATCGGCTAAAAAATGCTGCTAGTGACTGCCATGAAAAAAGTCATTTTTTAGTAGTGGTACTTGATCAAATTAAATTTTCGAGTGACGCACCAAATACTTAATGAGTTTATTGGATATCCTTAAAAATCAATTGTTTCACTTTGCTCATAATCTTCATAAACTTATTTTATTAACCCTTTAAACACTTTAAGAAGACGTACTAATATATCAAAAATTAATTCTCAAAGCAAATCCATAAGTGATTTCAAAAGGAGGCTCGACAACTCCTCGTTAAAGATCCAGTAACCGTAGCTGAATACAACTCCAAGAACCTTTTTTTAGAGAGGTAATTAACCATATGTGCTTACGCCTATGGGAAATATATAACCAAACCATAAAGTCCAAATAAAATGAGGATAAAATCTTTGGGGAGTGCTTTATCTCAAATTCAAATTTAATCTAACTTTTGACAATTTGACCCGGCACATTATTAAAATTCTCCTTAAAGAGTATTGGACGCATTGCGTACGCTCTGCGTATACCATGCTTATACTATACATATTTATAGATACACAACAAATAAGCCACAAATCCTCACAACTAATTATTGTTGTTTATTTACTGCGTATCTACAAATAAGTAGTATATATAGAGTAAATACACATAGCATATACATAGAATACACAATAATCTTGAAGATCTTTGGGGTCCGAACTCCGCACAGAATAATTTCCCTGAATGAGAAAAAAATTTCTGGCCTAAGAATAGTGCTTCCTCGTCACAAAAAAAAAAGAAAAAAAATTTGGTTTCACTGATTGCTAATTTGCCATTGACACCTGGAAAGTCGGAGCAGGAAACTTCAAAAAGCAGATATCTTTGCCTGAGTCCACCGCGCAGCGTCGGATAAAATAACAAGCGATACTTGGCAGGATGCCTGGCATTATGTGCGCTTCTTCTCCATATTTACAGGAACGCACTTGCTGCCCTGCCTTGCCTTTTATTGCAAAACCATCCCAATCTTGTCTGCTTCTCTTCCTAATTGGCGCCGCGAAGAAATTAAAGCATCCCTGATGGAGTCTGAGAAGGGGATGGGCGCTGCTACAAATGGCGACTCTGTGGACAACGAGGTCCCCCGGAACTCCTTTATGGAGAAGCACTTGCGATCTCTTACCGAAACACTCCATGAGAAGGAGCTCGTTGATCTCCTCGTCAAGCTCGGTATGACATTCCCTCAGGCTGTGACGCCGGAGCTGAGCCATTAGTTGTATTAACTTCAGGATAATTCAATCCATTTGGTAGCTTATCTTGCTACATAGATTTAGTGCTTTCTTTTGTTTTGAGTAGCCTAATATGTTCCTTCTTTTGGCTATAAATAGGTAGCCAATGTCTTGTAATATGATAGATTTTGATATGAATAAATTTTGAGTTTATCTCATATGTTTTCCTGTATCCTAAGAGTGAGTCTTAGGTGGTGGATCTTTCCTCCAAGAAGTTCTTGGAGCAGTGTCCGGCGACTGTCACCGGATCGTCGACGTGGATTCGTCGAACCCCCTACCTGGCCGGTGTCAGGCTGCTAAAGAAATTAGAGATTCAGCGAGACTATACCTTGCAGATCACAGACTAGCTGTTTATGGTTTGCATGAGGAAACTACTTCAGAAACTTTGTGTGATGCCTTTTCCTCATATGGCGAAATTGCGGAAGGACATGTTATGCTTGACAGTGCAACTGGAAAGTCTCGTCGTTTTGGCTTCATTACATTCAAAAAGAAAAATTCTCTTCAAAAAGCACTGGAAAAACAAGGCACATTAGTTGATGGCCGTCTAGCTTTCCACCACCAGCCTGCAAGTGAAAGATTCGACGGTGCAGTTGCCACTGCCGATGCAGAATTTAGAAGACTGTACGTTGGAAATATTCCTATGGATATAAAACAACTAAAATGTTGCTCGGTTTCTTTGCAAAGTATGGGGAAATAGAAGAAGGTTCTGTTGTATATGATGAAGAAACGAGAGAATCAAAAGGATATGGGTTTGTGACATTCAAGACGTTTGAGGATGCAACGAACGCCATTAAAAATCCAGATAAAATTCTTGTAAGGAACAAATTCATTGTGAAGCGTGCACTTAAATACAAGCCGAAGAATCTGTAGCCTAAGCTCCTTACGCCATTGCCGGCCTGAAACAGTACGGATCGCAGTCCCAAGTCCCAACTATATACAATCAAAGGTTATCCATATACTGTTTTGCTTAACGGTAACCATTTTGTTGGAGTTAGAAACCTGAAGCTATTAACCTCTTCTCACTAACTCTAGAATAATGGTCAGCTACTACAGGCGATTAATGTTGGTTATTTATCAGAATTATTCTTTTTTATTTTGCTTTGTGATTGGATTTCTTATTAGTTATATGATTGTGTTTATATGCTTATTATCTTTATTTAATATAATTAATAACATAAATTTATTATTATTAATTTTTAGATGAAATTATTAAACTTTTACCATGTGATTTCTAATTATTATAATTTATGAAAACAATAAATATAAATAAATTAAATTTTCTCTACAGGGTGATTTTAGCTAAACTATAAATGAATTGCAATTCATTATCTTTAAATCCTTGATAGATCAGACTCAATCAATTGGCAATGAAGATAATCTAAGCATATTCATTTGACTGCTATGATATTGTATGCTTTCCTTGTTCTTGAAATTTATGCATTATAAGAATGTAACTAAGGTAGATTATATGCACGTATTGTTTGATTAGTAGTAATATAAACACAATAAAATAATTTTGTATCACAAATGAAATCATAATCACTAAGGAAATATCAAAACAAACTTTATGACATAGCTGAGCATGTTGAATGATAGCCATCGGTGCGAGAGCAGGCATACTCGAGTGATGATGGACAATGGTCAATGGGTTGTAGTCTTGCTAATGTGATCGAAAGATCGTAGTTAGACAACAATAATCTTGATGATAGCCAGTAGGCCTTGATTAGGCTATGGTGGTTGGTAATTTAGCGATGGTGGCTAAGATATCATAGTCTGTTGATTTTTGCTGGGGGACCGTAATCGGACGATGGCGGCCAAAATATTGTAGTTGGATGATGGTGGCCTTGAAATCACAGTTAAACAGTGTTGGTTTGGAGGCCATTGTCAGGTTATGGTGATCAATTAGTAGTGACCTGACAGTGGTGTTTGTCGGTGGTTGGGCGGCTACAGTTTGATGATGGTGGTCAGGTGATAGTGATTTGATGAAGGCAGTTAGGTAGTAGTGGTCCAACAATAAAGATTTGGTGTCATCATTTTAATGGTCATAGAGCTCCAAGATTTTTCATATCTCTAAGTTATCTCTAAACTTAATTAGGTCCCAATCCATACCCCTTCACGTATAGTGACACTCTTAATAAATATAGTACTAAGAATAAAAAACGATTCTTTATGACATGACACATATTAATTCTCTTGATTACTGACCATTCTTTCAATATTTAAACAACTTAATGATATCAAAATTAAATAATCGTGAGCTCATTTGATATGTTTCACTTACATGTTCACTTTAACCATGAGCATGTAATATTTAAAGATCACTTGGTCCTCCATCATTATTATAAATCTTTCATTTCATTTATGTTTCAAATGATTGATTTGGGTTCACTTGGGCTTGGATCGGATCACTCTTGGTGTCAATAGATTTGTCTTATTGAGTCATTCAGTTTGATTATAAATTTGCTAAAATTGAAGTTTATATGACATTAAATTTAATTTGGGAAGTTTCCAATCCCAATATGCATTGAGATTGATACTTGATCAAATTAATTTTCGAATGACACACCAAATATTTAATGAGTTTATTGGATATCCTTAAAAATCAATTGTTTCAATTTCCTAATAATCTTCATAAACTTATTTTATTAACCCTTTACACACTTTAAGAAGACTCATATATCAAAAATTAATTCTCAAATCAAATCCATGAGTGATTTCTTAAGTGTTTTCCCCTTAAGAGTTAATTGTTTAAGTTGCCTCAAATTCATAAAATTTCATTGGTATCTTACAAAACACTTTAAGCATGAGGTTTACATCAAATAAACCCAATTAAAAAAAAAAAAATAGAAGGATTATCCAATGAAATATTTAAAGGATAAAGTTTACATCAAATAAACTTTGAAGTTCCCTTAAGGTAGTGGTGCCCTTATCTGAGTGGTTGACCTCGGATAAGGGTCATGTGCTTAACTGTTTATCTACTCTTATTTTGTGGTTCCTGTGGAAAGCCCGTAATGAAGCTAAGCATAATGGGATTAAGATGGAGGACAAGGTGATTATCTCCAATATTAATCATAAATTGCTCCAATTAGTTGCTGGTAAGCTCATTGCTAGAAAAAATTTTGGTAATTATTTTTGTTTGTGTTATGTGCTGGGTATTCCTTTTAGTAATGAGGAGTTTGTTATCAGTTGTAAAGTGGTTAGATGGTTAAAACCGGTTTCTCCCTTCTTGAAACTCAATTCTGATGGTTCGGTTGATAATAACTATGCTGGTTTTGGGGGGATTGTCAGGGATTTTACGGGCAAGGTCTTAGTGGCTTATGCGGGCCCTTTATCTCCGTGTAAGATCATTTTTGCTGAGTTGATGGGCTTATACAAAGGTCTTTTTATTTGTATTAATAGAGGTTTTCTTAATATTGAGATTGAGGTGGATGCCTTAAGTATTATTCATATTGTTATTAATTTTGAGGTGTTTCATCCTTAGTTATTCTACATCCTCAGGAAAATTCGTTTGGCCCTTGCCATTATGAATTATTCTATGAAGCATTTGTTTAGAGAAGGTAATGCTTGTGCTGATTTTTTGGCTAAATTTGGGAGCAGATTGGATGAAGATAGAGAATTTGATGTTGATTCTTTGCCTCACCTTTTAAAAGGTTTGGTATCTCTGGATAAAATTGGTTTTCCTTATGTGCGTTCTAGATGAGTTCTGTGTGCTTCTTTTTTCCATTACTTTTGTTTTTCTGTGTATGCTGCCATCTACTGGTTCTATCTTTGGTTATTTCTGCTCTACGATGCCTGGGAGTGCCTCTTGTAGTCCCCTTGTTTCGGGGTTGGTTAATCCTGGGAGCTGGAAGCTTGTCATTATATTTTGGGATTGGATTTTTTTTCCTTTAGTATTTGCTAGCTTTTTTGGTGACTCCAAGGTTGCTGGTGGTTACAGATTGTGTTTGTCTTGGTTTTTTGGGTGCTGGATTGATTCTTATGAGCTGATGAGAATATGTGGGGGTTTAAGGTATAATGAGAGATGTTTTGCTGTCTTGATTTTTCTCTTCTTCTGCTATAATTTGGTTGATTGGAGAAAGGTGAACCATCAGCACATTTTTTGGTTGCTGTTCTGGAGAAATTTGGAAATCAGGTTTTATCTTTCTTTTAAGAGAGCGGTTAACGGCATTTTTGGTTTAAGTTTCACTTACTATGATTTTGTTTCTGTTTTTTGGAGATTGTCTTGCAGGTACACTTTAATCCATATGTGCTTACTTGGCTGCAAGGTTTTTTTGGTAGGTTTTTGTTTTTTCCTGCTCTTTCTTTTTTGCAGGAAGAGGAAGCTGAACGAAGACTTTAAGCTCTTCCTTTTTTGGGTGCTGTTTGCTCACAGCCCAATTACTTTTTTATGTTCTTTTTGTAATCTTAGGAAAGGGAACCACTGGCTCGTAGGTTTTATTTTTCTCTTTTTGCTTGTAGCTCATTCGAGCGGTAGAGAGCTGGAGGTTCCCTCTAAGGATTCTATAACCGTTTTTTTTGGAAATTAACACGTAGGCCCCTTTGTGGGTTTTAACCATAAAAAAAAAAAAAAAAAAGGTAGTGGTGCCCTGATGTTTGTGAAAATGCCCCAAAGAGGCCTATAGTGTTTCAATTGTCTTTAATGTTATTTTTCTTTTGGCACTATTTATGGGAAAATAACTCGCCTATATATATTGCATTGTGAATGATTAATCCCTGTTTTCATAAAGATAGTGTTAAAAAAATTAAATGTATCGTAATTCTTAACTAATAAGAAATTAGCTTGCTATAGAAGACTAATTTATGGTAAAACAATAAAGGAATCATCGAGAAAACTAATGTTTCAAGAAAAGAAATATGTAGAGCACATTGACACCGGACAAGAGGAGGCTTGACAACTCCTCGTCAACGATCCGGTGACCGCAACTGAATACAACTCCAAGAACTTTTTCTTGGAGAAAGAAATAACACCTGAAATCAAATCTTAGTATACAATATTCAATGTAACATGAAAAAAAAAAAGATTCATTTTATTATTCTCTAAAATCTGCCTCATTACAAAAAATAGCTGTAATATGAGCTGAAGTTTAACATAACGTTAGAATGGCTGAGAATGTAATAACATAGTAGTTTTGCCCCGTGCGCTACTAGCAGCTTCGACATCAGTCTTCCAGGATAGGAGGAACTTCAAGTTCATAGTGAGATGACAGCTTGACAACAATAAGGTGCCATATTTGGTTGGCTAAACCCATCTAGATAGCTCCATCCGGTATCATACAGGAGTTGAACGTACTTTCAACTTTTTTTTTTTCTCATTGAGCTACAAATTAATGGATGTGTAATTGGAATTGGGTTTGCATATGGTACCATACAATCTATTATTCATTATACCTTGTTTGAAGGAAGTGAGAATGGAATACACGATGGTACTTCCACTAATCTTAATGATGGAGAATCTCCTCACGGACCTCCTCGCACTTAGTAGACTAGGGACCATGACGGCTCTCGACGACAAAACCATGGGATCTTGATCATGTTCGTCATCATTCTCCCATAATTAGCTTTAAGTATAAAAATAATAAATTTTACAATTCTAAAAAATTTCACATGTTGCTACTATATACTAGGTACGCGTATCTACTTAATGATTAACCTTAATTGAAAGTTCTCTCTCGACCTCTTGACATCAAGAGAGGTAATTAAACATATGTGCTTACGCCTATGGGAATTATAGAACCAGATCATAAAGTCCTCACAAAATGAGGACAAAATCTATGGGGAGTGCTTTATCTCAAATTCAAATTTAATCTAACTTTTAACAATTTGACCGGGCATATTATTAAAACTCTCCTTAAAGAGCACTGGACGCACTGCATACGTTCAAAGTACACCCTGCGTACACTATATATATTAGGGTTTAGGTAGAGCTTACGCATATGATACACAGTAATAAAAAAATCCTTTAGGTTCGGACTCCGCCACAATTTAATTTCCCTGAATGAGAAAAAAATTTGGTTTCATGCACTGATTTCTTATTTGCCATTAACACCTGGAAAGTCGGAGCAGGAAACTTCAAAAAGCAGATATCTTTGCCTGAGTCCACCGAGCAACGTCGGATAAAGTAACAAGCAATACTTGGCAGGATGCCTGGCATTATGTGCGCTTCTTTTCCATATTTACAGGAACGCACTTGCTACACTATACATATTTATAGATACACAACAAATAGGTAGCAAATCCTCACAACTAATTATTTGTTGTTTATTTACTATGTAACTTCAAATACTCTGTATATTATATGTAGAGCGTAGTAGGCAGAGCTTACGCATATGATACACAGTAATAAAAAAAATCCTTTACGTTCGGACTCGGCCGCAATTTAATTTCCCTGAATGAGAAAAAAATTTGGTTTCATGCACTAATTTCTTATTTGCCATTAACACCTGGAAAGTCGGAGCAGGAAACTTCAAAGGGCAGATATCTTTGCCTGAGTCCACCGAGCAACGTCGGATAAAGTAACAAGCAATACTTGGCAGGATGCCTGGCATTATGTGCGCTTCTTTTCCATATTTCCAGTAACGCACTTGCTGCCCTGCCTTGCCTTTTATTGCAAAACCATCCCAATCTTGTTTGCTTCTCTTCCTAAAGCATCCCTGATGGAGTCTGAGAAGGGGAAGGGCGTGGCTACAAATGACTCTGTGGACAACGAGGGCCGCCTCTGGAACTCCTTTATGGAGAAGCACTTGCGATCTCTTACCCAAACTCTCCATAAGAAGGAGATCGTTGATCTCCTCGTCAAGCTCGGTATGTCATTCCCTCAGATTGCCAAAGAAATTAGAATTACAGCGAGACAATACCTTGTAGGTCAAAGACTTGTTGTTTATGGTTTGCATGAGGAAACTACTACAGAAACTTTGTGTGATGCCTTTTCTTCATATGGCGAAATTGTGGAAGGACATGTTATGACTGACAGTGTAACTGGAGAGTCTCGTCGTTTTGGCTTCATTACATTCAAAAACATAGAATCTCTTCAAAAAGCACTGGAAGAAGAACGCAAATTAGTTGATGGCCGTCTAGTTTTACACCAGCCTGCAAATGAAAGATTCGACGGTGCAGTTGCCACTGCCGATGCAGAATTGAGAAGACTGTACGTTGGAAATATTCCTAGGGATGTAACAACTAAAGAGTTGCTCGATTTCTTTGCAAAGTATGGGGAAATAGAAGAAGGTTCTGTTATATTTGATGATCAAGAAACTAGAATATCAAAAGGATATGGGTTTGTGACATTCAAGAAGTCTGAGGATGCAACGAACGCCATTAATGATCCAAATAACTTCCTTGGAACGAACAGACTCCAAGTGAAGCGTGCAAATAAATACAAGCCGAAGTTTCATTAGCCTAAGCTCCTTACGCCATTGCCGGCCTGCAGCAGTACGGCTCACAGTCCCAAGTCCCAACTACAATCATAGCTTACCCATATACTATTTTGCTTGACGGTAACCATTTTATTGGAGTTAGAAACCTGAAGCTGTTAACCTCTTGTCACTAATAGAGTTCGATGATGTTGTAGAATAATGGTCAGCTACTAAAGATTAATGGAGAGAATTACTCTTTTTTTTTTATCAGAATTGATTTTATTTTGTTTTGTAAATCAATTTCTTATTAGTTATATGGAATGGGGGAATATCTAGGTCAACTAAGACAAATTTATTTATACATCATATATGTAAGACTCGAAATTAAGACCTTTTGGTTGGTAGCAAGGGGCAGAATCAGTCTTAATTTTCAGGCGGGACTTATAAGTAAAAGTGTATATATATATATATCATTTAAGTGACTTATGATTCTTTGTACTTGAGTTCATAATACATTTTTTTCACCAACATCATATATAATAACAATTATTCTTAAACAAAATTTAGGTTGAGGTATGGATGATTTATTTGTCCAAAAAAAAAAAAAAATCAATATGATATAAAAGCAATTCATTAATCATTCAATTTCTACGAAATATATGTTGGAGTTGCCTTGAATTTAGCTCGACTCCTATTTGTTCATATCCTTGATCGTTGTACGCTTCACAGATATGTTGGGGGTCCAAGGGGCGGGCAACACCCCCTTGCCTCGTTCAAGTCATTAGGTCAAGGGATAACGTTCCTGCGGGGGTTTCCGAGGGGAACGCGCCCCTGGCAGAACAAATTTTGGTTGTAAGGATATTTTTATATTCTCTTTATTATTTTTCTTTCTATTTGATCCATGGTTCCCTAACAATAACACCTCTACACATTGTGTTTAATTATGTTGGGCGCAATTGCCTAAATATCATAATATTTTAAAATTTTTAGGAGGAGCGAACAATTCCACCTTGGGCTTAAGGTGGATCCGCCCTTGTTGGTAGCCAAAGCTACCTAGGATTGTTGTAGTTAAAATGACAGTAACTGCTTCTTAAACCTGATGCTTCTAAATATCTTTCCAAAAAAGGTTCATGATATATCTAATTTTTGTAAAATTCTTATGTAAGAAGTCTCAATGAATTTAAAGAAATAAGAATTAAGTTTGAATTTCTTTAATAAAATATAATTGCTTAATCAATACTAATTAGCATATAATTATTATGAAATTATGGATATATATGCTTAATACCTTTAATTAATATAATTAAATATGACTGATAAATAATTATACATTTTAATAATGTAATTATGAAATTTAAACTAACACAAATTTATTATTATTATTTTTTAGATGAAATAAACTTTTAGCATGTGATTTCTAATTATTATAATTTATGAAAATAATAAATATGAATAAATTAAAATTTGTTGTCTACAGGGTGATTTTAGATAAAGAATAAATTAATTTAGATTTATTACTATTGCGTAAATTAATTTAAATTCATTACTATTGCGTCCTGGAGTATTTGCTTTTGTAGAAAAATATAATATTTAACGTCTTAACCTTTTATGAAAATTCGGCACGCAATCAGATAAGAGAGAGGGTGTTGCATTTATAGGAGACACCAAGATTTTTATGTGGAAAACCCATAATATGACATTTTTTGCCGATGAATCCGAGCCGTAATCGGACGATGGGGCCAGAAGATTGTACTTGGATGATGGTGGCCTTGAGATCGTAGTTGGGCGATGATGGTTGGGAGGTCATTGTCAGGTGATCGTGATCAATTGGTAGTGACCCAATGGTGGTGGTTGTCGGTGGTTGGGCGCCTACAATTTGATTATGGTGGTTAGGCGATAGTGGTTTGACGAAGGCAATTAGGTAGTAGTGGACCGACAGTAATAGTTTGGTGTCATCATTTTAATAATCGTAGAGCTCCATTATTCTTCAGACCTCTAAGTAATGATATATTTATAATTTTTAAGAGTGACACTCTTAATAAATATAATAAGAATTAATAAAAGACTTTATCAGATGACACATATTAATTCTCTTGATCACTGATCATTCTTTCAATATTAGAACAGCTTAATGATATCAAAATTAGATATTATTGAGCTCATTTGATATGTTTCACTGAGATGCTCAATTTAACCTTGAGCATGTGATATTTCAAGATCACTTTGTCCTCCAATCAATATTATAAAGCTTCCATTTATGTTTCAAATGATTGATTTGGGTTCACTTGGACTTGGATCAGATCACTCTTGGTGTCGATGGAATTGTCTTATTAAGACATTCAATTTGATTATAAATTTATCGAAATTGAAGTTTAGATGATCTTGAATTTAATTTGGGATGTTTCCAATCCCAATATGCATGGAGATTAGTACTTGATCAAATTAATTTTCAAGTGATGCACCAAATCTTTAATGAGTTTATTAGATATACTTAAAAATCAATTGTTTCACTTTCCTCTATCATCTTCATAAACTTGTTTTATTAACCCTTTACACACTTTAAGAAGACTTATATATAAAAAATTAATTCTCAAAGCAAATCTATGAGTGATTTTTTAAGTGTTTTCCCCTTAAGAGTTAATTGTTTGAGTCGCCTCAACTTCATAATATTTCTTTAGTATCCTACAAAACACTTTAAGCATGAGGTTTACAACAAATAAACCCAATTTAAATAAAAAAAAGATAAAGTTTACATCAAATAAACTTTGAGGTTCCCTTAAGGTAGTGGTGCTCTGATGTTTGTGAAAATGCCCTAAAGAGGCCTATAGTGTTTCAATTGTCTTTAATGTTATATTTCTTTTAGCACAATTTATGAAAAAAATAACTTGTCTATACATATTTCATTGTGAATGATTAATCACCATTTTTATAAAGATAATGTTAAAAAAATGTATCTTAATTCTTTACTAATACGAATTAACTTGTTATATATAGAAGACTAATTTATGGTAAAACAATAAAGGAATCATTGAGAAAATTAATGTTTCGAGAAAATAAATATGTAGAGCACATATAACACCCATTCATTGAAAAATACAATGATACCGAACAAGAGGAGGCTCGACAACTCCTCGTCAACAATCCGGTGATCGTAGCTGAATACAATTCCAAGAACTCTTTCTTGGAGAAAGAAACGCCACCTGAAATCAAATCTCATAATACAATATTCAAAGTAACAAGGAAAAAAGCCTTCATTTTATTATTCTCTAAAATTTGTTTCATATATATAACATAACCTTAGATTGGCTGAGAATGTATTAACATAGTAGTTTTGCTCCATTCACTACTAGAAGCTTCGGCATCAGCCTACCATAGGATAAGAGGAACTTCAGGCTCATAGTGAGATGACAGTTTGACAATAATAAAGTGGCGTGTTTGATTGGCTAAATCAGTCTGGATAGATCCACATGGTATCATGCAAGCGTTGAACTTTCATCTTTTTTTTTTTTTTCTCATTTAGCAACAAATTAATGGATGTGTAATTTTGGAATTGGGTTTGCATAAGGTAGCATACAATCTATTATTCATTATACCTTGTTTGAAGGAAGTGAGGACGGAATAGACGATGGTAGATGCACTAATCTTAATGATGGAGAATCTCCTCACGGGTCTGCTCATTCCATCCTTTAGCCCTTTCTCTTCTCTACTTACTGTTCTGTATTTCAGTTCAATAGAAATCTTATACTCTATGTATTAGTTTTCTAACAATATACTATTATTTAATGAACACTTAAGCTTCTTTTGAGGCATTTTTTTCATTGCTTTCTAAAATAAATTTTTAGTACAAAAAATTTTAATTAAAAAATTATTTTAGACAGCATTAAGAAAGTTGTTCCAAATGAATTTTTAATTTTATCAAAAAAAGAAAAAAAATTTTAAGTTCAAAAAATTCTATTATTACTAACGCTAATATTTCTACAAAAAAGAAGAAAATTTAAATAAAAAAGTACTCTTATTTGTTATTAAAAAAGCTTATAAGGCAATTTGATCAAAACGAAAAATTTTAATATATAAAATATTAAAAATAAAATAAAAAAAATACTACGTCTCCATGTGGACTGAGTTCAAAAAATTTCTTAATAATACTAAAATATTTCTAAGAAATTAGAAGAGAATATAAAAAAATATCATATTTGTTGCTATTAAAAAATTATAATATTATTTGATTTTAACAAAAATGCTTTAATATATATAAAAAATGGAATTTGTCTTGGAAAAAGTCATGGACGAAGCACCTAAATGGAAGTTATTGCATGTGAGTGATCTTCACCCATAAGTGGTAATTAGCATTTAGTTACACTGACTACATTTTGGGTTTTATGTAGTTGTTTTCAAATTTTTTGTATGTTCTAATCAATATATTTAAACTGAACTTCTTAATAAGATGAGCCAAATGACACTAAAAATAATTCGATCTAAATTCAAATGAACTCAAGAAGCAGTACTTGATGTAATATTAAAAATTTTAGAGCATTGATTGAATAATCAAAAGTTTCCAAAATTTGTATACTTATATTCAAATAGACTACTATGATAAGATGAATCCGTTCTAAGATCATTAGATTTTGACATCATTAAAATACTTAAATATTAAATGAATGATCTATAATCAAATGATTCAATATCAACCGACAAATAAAGTGCTAATAAAATTTGTTCGATAAAGTGCTAAAATGCTACTCCCAAAATAATATAAATAGATCTGCATTATTCATATAAAAGGGACTAGACAATTAGCTTGAGTTTGGAGAGAGCTTGGAGTTTTGAAGAACTTTAGAGCATTACATTTGATGTCGATGATCTTTGTCGGCCACTGCCTTCCCTTGAATACCATTGTTTGACCGACATCACCTGACTACCATCATTAAGCCATCGTAGCCCAACCATCATCATCTAACCAATAATACATTTCTTTTCATCAATCCGCCATCATAAAACTATTATAACCAAGCCATCATTGCCACCATAAAACATTATCATTCGATCTGACTAACATGATCGTAATGATTCATCTCCAAAACTCCCCCTCACATTTACAAAAAATAAAAACTTGAATTATATATTTTATAATCCTTTCTTTTTCTAATTGAGGGAAAGAGTGGAGTCTTGCAATCTATATACATTGTAAATCATTTCATTTGGATATGCCTCATGTTTTTTATTTTTTATTTCCTGAATTTCAATATAGAAAGTCTGATGTCGAATGCATTATATCCTGTTGTCTGCGTGAGTTGGATCTTTGCAAAAAAATGGAGTAAAACTCTTTATCTATCATCAAAGCTTAAGCACAGGAGGGCCAAGTCAAATCTAAATATTATCAACATACTAAAAATGAGGAAAAATTTGGTTTTCCTGGTTTGCTATTTGCTGTAACACCCAGAAAATCGAAGCAGGTCAATATATTTGCCTGATTCAGCTGAGCAACATCAGAGAAAATAGCATCACACCATGCTGTGCGCTTCTTCTCCATATTTTTTGGAGCTCATGCACTTGTTGCCCTCACTTTTATTCCTAAACCATCCCAATCTTGCTTGCTTCTCTTTCATGGCACCACGAAGAAAATCAAGCACCCATGATGGTGAGCCCTCGAACATCCGATCTGCGAATCAGCAGCTGCAATCTCTTCTTACCAATCTCCATAAAGACGACCTCGTTGATATCCTGGTCGGTCTAGCTATGAAAGTTCCTCAGGCTGCTCAAGGAATTAGAGGTGCAGCGAGACCTACCGCTGCACATCGCAAACTTCTTGTTCATGGCTTCGGTGAGAAAACTACTTCACAATCTTTGGGTTATGCGTTTTCTTCATATGGTGAAGTTGAGGATGCATATGTTGATGATGACATAACAACTGGAAAGTCTCATTGTTTGGGCTTCGTTACATTCAAAAGCTTAGAATCTGTTAAAAAAGCACTGATAAAACGAAGAACACGGGTTGATGGCCTTCTGGCTTACCAACAGCCAATTCCTGAAGCTGAAATTGCCAATCTCAATACAGACCCGAGAAAACTGTTCGTTAAACATATTTCTTCAGATATAACAACTGAAATGTTTCGCCGTTTCTTTGAAAAGTATGGGGAAATAAAAAAAGGTTCTGTTGTCTATGATAAAAGTAGTAGAAAATCTGCAGGATTTGGGTATGTGACATTCAAGACAGTTGAGGCTGCTAGGGCGGCCATCACTGACCCAGATAAAATCCTTGGGGGAAACAGAATCTCTGTAGAGATCAAAAAGTTCAAGAAAAAGGAAAAAGAAGTTCAGGAGGAGTCTGTAACTTATGCTCCACACGTTCACAGCAGTTCTTACGCCATTGCCCCGCAGCACTATGGATTGCAATCTCAAGTCCCACATCCACATTTTAGTGGTTACGAGCCTTATGGAAATCCTCTACCATATCAACCTCCAACTAAAGCAAATCAACCACATTTTAGTGGAGACGAGCCTTATGGAATTCCTCAAGCATATCAACCTCCAACTGAAGCATATCAACCACATTTTAGTGGAGACGAGCCTTATGGAATTCCTCAAGCATATCAACCTCCAACTGAAGCATATCAACCACATTTTAGTGGAGACGAGCCTTATGGAATTCCTCAAGCATATCAACCTCCAACTGGAGCAAATTCACCTCAAACTGGAGCATATCGAGGATATCCATCTCCAACTGGAGTTATTCAACCTCCAACTAGATCAAATTCACCTCAAAGTGGAGCATTTCGAGGATATCCATCTCCATTTGGAGCAATTCAACCTCCAACTAGATCAAATTCACCTCAAACTGGAGCATATCGAGGATATCCATCTCCAACTGGAGCAAATCAACCTGCAACTGGAGCATATTCACCTCGAATTGGAGCATATCGAGGATATCCATCTCTAACTGGAGAAAATCAACCTCCAACTGGAGCATATCCAACATATTCACCTCCAACTGGAGCATATCCACCTGCAACTGGAGCATACCGAGCATATCCACCTTCAACTGGAGCAAATCAACCTCCAATTGGAGCATATCCACCTGCAACTGGAGCAAATCAACCTCGAATTGAAGCATATCTACCTGCAACTGGAGCTTATCAATCTCGAACTGGATCATATCGAGCATATCCACCTTCAACTGGAGCATATCAACGTCCAACTTGAGCTTATCAACATCCAACTGGATTCATAGCTTATCCATACTATTTTGCTTATCAGTAAGCTATCAATCATGTTATTACAGTTAGTTATTTAGCCTCTGTGCGTAGAATAAGGGCTTGCAACAGAGATTTGTAGCATAGCTACCACAGTTTTTGGGTTATTTATCAGATTTTTTTTTTTATTTTGCTTTGTGATTGGATTTCTTATTTGTTATGTGATTGTGTGTAATTAAGGCTTAGTTTTGGACATCTTTTTTTAATGCTTCTTAAATTAATTTTTTAATACAAAATTTAAAAAATTTTGTATTAAAAGTTGATTTCAGAAGCAATCAAAAAGCCGTCTCAAATGAAGCTCAAAATGAGAATAACTGCTACTGAATTAAACCTGATTGATGTATTAATTATTTGTTTTTATTTTGCTTTGTTTTGAATATGGTTCCCAAATGTTTGTAAAATTCATACATGAGAGTCTAAATGAATTTAATAAAACCATTAATATTAATTAAGATTAAATTCATTTAATAAAATATAATTGCTTCATCAATTCGGATTAATATTGATACGTTATCATGAAATTATCTTGATCGGGCACGAATCTCGAGGCAAAAATCAAGTTGGGAACTTCAAAAATTAAATTCAGGAGCACCTGAACTCTGATTTCAGCAAGCTTACAGTCAAACTGAGCGTCTCAAAAATACGAAGCCAACAACACCAAATTGAACTCAATCCGAGTCCAAATGAGCCCAAATCAAGCGCCCGAAGTGCTGTTGAAAAGCTCGTACACAATTTGAGTTACCAAACGGTCTCCGATTTTAAGGAGCTTATACTCGAATCGAGCGGCTCGACGAGACGAATCCAACGAGCCCAAGATCGTTGAATTCCGACATCACTAAGGCCTTCAAATGTCCAATGAATAGTGCACAATCGAAGGGTTCAATATCGGCCATCCATTCGACCACTCCCTATTTACCCCTGATCTCACATCTATTAATTACAAGCCATGCCACTCCAGAAAAATTATAAATAGAGCCCTCATTCCTCACAAGAGGGGGGTGAAGCAAGAAGAGAAGAAGAAGAGAAGGGGAAAGGATAATCATCTCCTCCTCGACCACCGCCAGAGTTCTTTCCGCCGCCTAAATACGCCGAAACTCTGCGGGATATTCGGGAGAATGCCGGAATTTTGCCTAACTTCCACGTGATGCTGAAATTCTTCCCAATTAACGGCAGAGTTCCCTCCTGACGCCGAAACTCCGCCCAAGTGATGCCGGAGTTCTCCTCGTCCACCAACAGATGTCTGATTTCAACCCGACGCCGGACCTTCACTCTTCGCCAAGTTTCTGTTGAAAGAGTAAGCCAGGAAGTGGCTTTCGTCCAAGAACAGGGAAGAAAGTAGGAAACAGGATAAAGAAGAAAGAAACTTTTCATTCATTTAACTGTTGGTTACAAGAGGTATTTATAGACAAATAAAGTAAAGAAAGTACAGGCTACAGCTTATATTACAAAAGGAATTAAACTAATGACTGCCATGTAACCGTGTAGCTAACAGCCCCCCTCAAACTCATGCTAGGGAGGTAGCGGTGTGTTTGCTGGAAAGGAGCTGAAATCTGTGATTTGGCAAAGCTTTGGTGAAGAGATCGGCTAGTTGATCTTCAGTGCATATATGGTGAACTGAAACTTTGTTTTTCTTGATATAATCCCGGATGAAGTGACAGTCAACTTCAATGTGTTTTGTGCGGGCATGGAAGATGGGATTGTTAGCCAGTGCGATTGCGAAGGTGTTATCGCAGAAAACAGTGGTAGGTGCCGGGTTGTGGTGTATGGAAATCTTCGAGCAGTTGACGAAGCCAAAGGATCTCAGTAGTCTCGGTGGCTAAGGCCCGGTATTCAGCTTCAGTAGAGGATCTGGCGATCGTGTTTTCTTCTTTGCTTGCCATGAGATGATGGAGGTTCCTAAGAAATTGCAATAACCGGATATGGATTTTCTATCTTGATTGTTGTTGGCCCAGTCGGCATCAACGTATCCAGTGAGGGTGAGGTTGGATCGGTAGAGGGGAATGCCGAGAGCGGAGGATCCCTGAATGTAGCGAAGTAGACGCTTTAATGCCTCCTGATGAATGTTGAGCGGGTTCTGCATGTGTTGGCATAGCTGTTGGACGGCAAACTGAATGTCCGGTCGGGTGAGTGTGAGATATTGCAAAGCTCCGATAATTTGTCGGTACAATTGAGGTTGATCGTATGGATCGTGAGACGTTGAAGTGATAGTTGTTTTGCAGGAGATTGGTGTGGCTACCGGCTTTGTTGTATCCATACCGGCCCGATGGATAATGGATTTGGCATAGGCTTGTTGGTGAAGTATGAAGCCGTTCTTAGTTTTGGTGGTTTGAATGCCCAAGAACTGAGATAAGCTCTCTAGATTCCGCATCTGAAAAGAAGCATGAAGATTGGAGAGTAATTTATGTGTTTCAGTAGGAGAGTTACCTGTGAGTAAGATGTCGTCGACGTAGACGAGCATGTACATGCGAGTGGTACCGAAATGAAACGTAAGTAGCGATGGATCGGAAGCACTTATGTGGAAACCGTAGTCGGTGAGATGATTTGAGAGGGTTGCATACCATTCCCGCGGTGATTGTTTCAACCCGTAGAGAGCTTTCTTGAGCTTGCAGGCGTAATCGGGATGTGCTGAGTCTTGAAAGCCGGGAGGTTGTGCATGTTGACTGTGTCAGATAGCTTACCGTGCAAGAAGGCATTTGAGACGTCTAATTGGTGAATCGGCCAGTTGTGATGCAATGCAATGTGGATGAGCACCCGAATTGTTGGCGTTTTTGCTACTGGGCTGAACGTCTCGTTATAATCTATGCCCTGTTCTTGATTAAAACCTTGTGCGACGAGACGTGCTTTGTATCGAGCGACCGAGCCATCTGAATTGTATTTTGTGCGGAAAGTCCATTTGGATCCTAGTATGTTCATAGAAGAGTTTGGTTGGACGAGATCCCATGTACCCTGAGTTTGAAGAGCCTGAAATTCTTGAGACATAGCGTTGCGCCAATGTGCAGATTTGGAGGCTTGATTGTAAGTCTTAGGTTCGGATGGCTGGAGAATATGAGTGAGATCGAATATTTTCTTCGGTTTAGATGTTCCGGCTTTAAGTCTGGTGAGCATAGGATGAGGTTGAGGTGTGATGAGTTGTGATGTTTGTGGAGGTCTTATAGGATCGGGAGTGCTATGGGTTGGGATTGGTAAGTTCTCTGTGTGAGTTTGAGGCTGAGTGGTATGGGTGGTGTGGGAGGATGTGGTTGGCCGAGAGGCAGTGGAAGATGTTGGAGGAGTAGGGAGGTGTGAGGATTCACGGGAGATGGCAGACGTTAGTTGGGTATTTGGTACGAGTAATAGAGGGGGTATGTTGTGAGACGGTGCTGATTGAGTGTGGTTTATGGAGCTAGATTTAGAGCAAGGAAATATATTTTCAATGAATATAACGTTGCTGGAGATGTATATTTTGTTAGTGTTTAGATCCAGACACTTATATCCTTTTTGATTTGGAGGGTAACCGATGAAGATGCAAGGATGAGAGATGGGAGAAAGTTTGTGGGTGGTGTATGGCTTAAGCCATGGGTAACATAGACAGCCGATTACCTTAAGGTTGCTGTAGTCGGGAATCTTGCCATATAGAATCTCGTATGGGGATTTGTTGTGGGTGTTCGGCGACGGCATGCGGTTGATGAGATGATTGGCCGCAAGAAGTATGTCCACCCAGAGATAGAGAGGTAGCGAGGCTTGTAGAAGCAACGTTCTGGTGGTCTCGATTAAGTGCCTGTGTTTGCGCTCGGCGACTCCGTTCTGAGAAGGAGTGTGCGGACAGGTTGCTTGATGAATGATTCCTGTGGTTTTGCAATAATTATGAAAGTGGTGATTGACAAATTCGCCGCCGTTGTCTGAACGAAGAATTTTGATTTTATGATTAAATTGTCGTTCAATAAGATTTTGAAATTCAATGAATTTAGAGAAAACCTCTGATTTATTAGTGAGAGGATATAGCCATGTAAATTTTGAAAAATCGTCAATAAAGGATACATAGTAGCGATACCCTTGAGCTGGAACCTTAGAAAAGGGTCCCCATACGTCGGAATGTATAACAGAAAACAGAGAATTAGTTACAGAATGAGAAGAGGAGGTAGGGAGACGATGGCTTTTAGCCATTTTGCACTGGTTACATGATGAAGCACTACTACCGGGTTTAACCATGCTGTTTCTTTTGGAGATTGCAACCAGCGTTTGCGATGACGGATGACCGAGACGCCGGTGCCATAGGTC